TCCACGATTATCTTCTGTGTCTGTGTTAATTGGTTTCCCTTTTCTTTGTTGAAGAGGGTCTGTGCAATCCTTCTGCCTAGTCCGCCATCTTGCCGGAACTCCCTAACCAAATATTCTTGCCCGTCAGAGATACCTAAATGGATACCTAATTGGTAGATATACCCATGACTCAATTCTCAGTTTCCCTTTTGTCCAAAATATTTATTCACTCCCAAAGCTTCTTATATTACTCTCTCTAAAAGATTATCCAATCCATAAACAAGCCCTGACTGTCTCCCAATCACCAATGCCACATTTCCAATCTTCTATTTAATGCCTCCAGAAGCTCTGGTGACATAACATCTAAGGCATGTGACTGCTAACCAGAAGTCTGATGGTTCAAACCCACCAGCCTCTCCTTAGAAGGAAGACTGGGCAATCTACCTCCATAGAGACCCAGGTCACTGTAAGTCAGAAACAACCTGAATGACAGCAGTGAGCTTGGTGGTTTTTTTTTTTGTTTTGTTTTGTTTTAATCCAATGCCTCCACTAAATTGTCCAGGGCTATATCAGACTAACATACTGAAACCTAGATCCATACCCTTATTCTTTCTTTTCTACACTTCCTCAAGTTTTATCAACGCATCATTCTGCAACTAATTTATTCAACACCTACTTATATGCCGTAAAAAGCTCTGGTGGCATAGTGCCTAAGGCATTTGACTGCTAACCAGAAGGCTGGTGGTTCAAACCAACTGGCTACTCTGCAGAAGGAAGACTGGGCAACCTACTTCCGGAAAGATTTACCACCTCAGAAAACCAAAGGTGGTTGCTATGAATCAGAATCCACCCAATGGCAATGAGTTTGGTTTTTTATATGGCCTGACATGATGATTTGAAGCATTCACATCCGTCTTAACCATGCCGGTCCCAAGCCCATCAACACATAAAGACAGAAACAAACTATTTCATTATGAAGTAATATGTTCACTCAGTAGAGAACCAAGGTTTATTCCAACTCTTACTTAGTATTATTTACTGCTTAAACTTTTATTTATTTTGTACCCCCATATTTACTCTTTATCAAATCCTCTCCAAAGAATTTGGGGATGAAGTGAAAGTTGGGGTAAGATTTAGGAATAAGATGAAAGATGGTGCTTGAACAATTTCTCTTATTA